GATCGGTGACTGTGTTTTACATAGGCTCTATTGACATTCAGATGCTTCGGTTGTGAAGGGGGTTGAGAGAGGGTCTTGGCGCTCATGCCAAGTTGCCGCCCCGGATGGTTGCCCATGTCGCCCTTAAAAAAAACCCCATATCATTAAACCCTTAATAAAATATCGCATTCTGCTCACATCATTTAAGACTCCCAAAGGACAGTTCACAGGTAGCCTATGTAAAAGAAGAAAAAAAAAAAAAAAGATTGCATGCTGACTTAAATTTTTTCATTTCTGTGTGGAACGAATTTAAAATGAACTCTTGTGAGAAAATGTGTCTGTGTGAGTATTACAGCTCACGAACCACAGTGAATAACATGGTGCCATATATTTTCTGCAAGTACATCTTTACAACGCAGATACTTTTCTAAATAAATGAACAAGTCAATGTTTAGCATGTTCAAGTCTTGAAGTGTGTATGCAAATGTTATTGTATTTAAAAAGCACATTTCAGAAAAATCGGCTTAATCTTCAACCTAATCAACTATTTCAATAGCTAAAGGTGTCTTTAATGATCTTGTATCCACTCTGTATCCTCTACACCTTGTTTCCACACCAACACCTAAAACAGAGTCTTGACAGGCTGTTAAAACAAATTAATCTGAATTTTGTACTGGCACAATCTCAAGTATCTTTGATTATTACTCTTTGCACAATCTCTAAAGTCTTGAGTCTTCATGATATGTTCAGTACTTCTGCTCGCCCAATCTCAGTGGTTTTTGTGAACAGAATTGAAGTTTTAAGGGGGTTTTTTGCACAGTGGACCAGTTCTTTTATTTTTTTTAGATCTGAAATCAGGACTATACAATATATCTAAAAGCAACTATCATCACAATATCAAGAGTGTTCTGTATGACTATTGCAAAGCACTCCTTTAACTCAATAACTGTATGGTTCATATTTCAAGTGCCTTTCATTCTTACCAGTTTTTCTGTAGTTCCCCCTTAGCTATATGTTACATTACAATATAATATACCAAAAAATACAGCATGGAATATAATTTTAAGGTGTTCTTCAAATCTCTACCAACGGCACCATAAGTGTGCAATTTGCTGTCTGAGCCCCCAAGTTTTAACTGTGCAATAAAGTGTGTAATTTATACTCTACATTATCTGTCTATTTGTTAATTAATCCAGGAAGGAGTTTCATCTGAAAGAACAATTTTAGATGGATATTTCAAATTTCAACAAACAACGTAGGCTACTTTCTAAAAGATGTTTAAGCAACTTGTTTTTGTAATACTGAGTATAAGTCTTTCACTGTACTACTACACAGTTTATATTCCTACAGCATTTTATCTTCAAGGTGAAGTTTGTCTTCATTTTGAGAAACACTTTGTTTGACAGGACAAAAAACATTTGATCAACAACTTTGCTAAATGTGGACCATTTCTAAAGCTGTTTTTGTGTTCAAGCTTCTGAACATCTATTAACTTTGCAGTAAAGCCAGTGCAAACTTTAAACAAATTGTCTTCACCTTTAAAAATACCAGTTGCAAATCGCAGCATGACATGTTTATTACAAGTCACAGAAACATAGATTAATTTGGGGAAACTTTATTCCCCTCATTTAAACTCAACTTTTCTTCAATAGCAGAGCCAGCTTGATGGTTTTGGATAGCAGTAAAACGAGTTTCTGTTTGAAAATGCAAAGCTTTGATTAAAAACCATTTCTTCTAGGAAAACAAAGCAGCCGGACTGCATTTTGAAGACATTTTTATTTTCAAAGCTGCCCTTGTCTGACCCGTGCATAGAGTATGGACTTATTATAGAATAATTATACAATGTCATCTTGGAACACATTTGTAGTGAATGCACTAGTTGTAATCATATGGTTCCAACTACAAAGGGAACAACTTTAAAGTCAAGCATGTCTACAAATTGCATGCTGTACAACAGACTGGACATCTGTCGTTGTATTCTGCCCTGCTGACTGAGCCAGGTTGTTTTAAAAGGGAAAACTGAACATTTCATGTTTGGTTCATCCCATTTCCCTCTCTGCTGTTCTATGCAAACTGAAATTAAACCAAAAATGTGGGCTGCACTCCCAGGCACCAACATGAGCAAGATGTTCTGACATAGTCCGCCGAAGCACTAAACAAGGCAAGGCAAAATAAGGATGCCAGGCTATCCAACACAAGAGCCAAAATCCAGTCTGATTAAGAACTGCTATGATTTTAAGACTGACAGCTTTTCACAGAATCCTTTAACATAATTTTTTTCTGGGAAAAATACTTCATCATATTCAATAGTTTGAGCAATATATTTAGTTTGTTACTTAAATGCAAAGGGACTTATAATAGCGTTCTTTGAAAATGCCACCCTCCTCTCCACTCTTCCCATAGATGCTAAATTTATGGACTTGGATAGGTAATAATTGTCGCGTCAACTGTTTTTGTCACCTGACCAGTGATGATCTATGTCTCTTAAAGAGCTACCACTGGAATAATGGCTGTATCTCTGCTGAAGCTCACCTTAAACTGCTCTTCTAGTTCAGGGTGGTCTTGTTTCATGGCAGCTGTAAAATCCTCAGATTTCTTGCATTTCCTTTTATCACTCTTAAAACGTGTGGTAGCAGCGTTCTTTAGCATACAATGTGCAAGACAAATTTCCCCTTGGGAACATTAAAGTATCTATCTTCAGATCTCTACCAACGTTGTCATAAGTGTCAAATCTGCTCATCTCAAAATTTTAATTTATGTTTTAGTGTTTGCCTTCAGCAAGTTCTGATCTTCCTGGATCAGTTAAAACTGTGTCAATATAAAACCCAAATACCAAAAACAACTGGAGAACTCAACCACCTGTGCTTCCAATCTTTGAGTCATTTTGAGCATTAATTGTTATCAGGTTCCTGAAGTCCAGCTGTCAAAAAGAAGAAGAAGAAAAAAAAAGATTTAACTCATTCAGGAAACTCCCAGAGCATGGAAAACAATTTATTTTGGCAAGTGACCCTTTTATATTTGCCACTGGCCTACATTTGGCCTATTTAACGTTCTATTTGTCTTTTTCAGGAAATGTCGGGGTGGAGTAAGACCCACCACCCCCCTGCTTAATTTGGGTCTATTGTGCTGGATTTAGACTTTTGGATCTTGTGTGAAAATAGCTTCAGTTTTCTCTATTAAACTTCGACAGGTTTTTTCTTCAACAAGACCTGGGGTGAATGTTGTGTTAGGTTTTCTTCTACATCTCTGGGTGGTCTGGGAATCCAAGGTCCACTTAAAACCGCACAAAGCAGGTTGAAAAATCTTCTATTTTTAAAGATGTGCAAACACTGTAGTGGTTAAAAACAGCATTGATATAAAACTCCACATTTTTACATGTGGAGTCTTGTGATACAAGTCCACTTTATGATGGCTGGTGCAAAATGTAGTATAATATTGTAGAGCCCAATGACCTCCATATGTGCTTTTAATGTAATGTACTTTAACAGCACCATCTGGAAATCTGTTTCAAGTTTAGAAAATGTATTTTCTGTTGTCATTACCAAAGATACCTTTCTGAGGGGATTATGTAAAATGGAGCTGTGACACTTTAGCAGCGACAAAGAAAAATGATAGAGTGAGCAGTTTAGCTCCAAAGATTATTTATAATCGGAAATCTGGTGGAGCCTTGTGAAAGTAAACGGGCAAGAGGACAGATTTTACTTGACCCAACAAGTGTAGCCGTTTAGCTGAACAATTTTTTCTTCCAGGAATACAAAGCAATTGAAACCTTGGCTTTAATGGAAGTAACAACTGAAAACTGAGAGCTGCTGAAACTGATATCTCTGGCAGCCTGACCACAGAGCCGACTGTTATTATTTTGTTAGGTAAGATACATAGTTTATTTTTTTCTTTATGCATTTTCTGTAGGATAAAACATCCTACAGATGCTCTTCAAATCATGCTTGAAGAGCACATGATTAAATCAGTCAAAGAAAGGAGATAATATTTGACTGCATATTCCATTAAAGTACTTGTGCTGATGCCAATCCACATCTGACAGGCAATTCTTGTCAGAACCAAAGCATAAAGTACCTGAATGCTGCCAGATTGGTGGTATTTCTTGGCATTCATATGTTTTTGAGTGTCCCTGACCCACACTCATAATACATCTCTTCACTACACAGACATCCAATCCAAACCCACCTCACAATTCCCATGGATGCTGCAAAGGCAACCACAGTAAACAATAATTTTAAGATCAAAGAAAGAGGCATCGAGCATATTAGGAAAAAAATTAGCATGTAAACATTTCCGTATGATTTTTCGTATAATACATTTTTCAGTTTATCATAGGCTCTTAAAAATATGTGTGATGTGATCTAATTGGCTTTATATCCAAAATTTTAACTGTCAAATTTGGTATCATCCTCAGTGATTTGATTGTTGTAGGTGTTTCTTTTGGCCAGTTGAAAGTAGATGAGAAAAAACGCTTTTGACTGAATGAATGAACATACATGCAGCAAAGAATGATGGTCTCCTTCTCCTTGCTAAGTAAATGATCACTCAAATGATCCTTTGTGGACTTAAATTTAAGCTGGTAAATTACCTATTTCAATTTTTGTCTTTTCTGTGTCTTTTGTCTTGGGTGGACATTACTGTGTTATGAATTGATACACGTATTCGCTGTTCCAAGCATAACCTCACCAGCTTTTGACAACTTTCAAAACTGTCAGCTCACTTTATTTCTTTCAAATTGTATATTTCTCCATTTCATACAGGAGAATGAATATAAACTACCATCTTTTAATTTATAGTGGGTCCCCCTCTCAAACTCTGCCCGGGCCCCTGCATAGCTTTGGGTCGGCTCTGCCAATAGAACCGGGATGCAGCGACACTCCGGCTGGCTGATGCTGTTACTTTTCTCTAGTCGCGTTCAGGGAGGAGGGCCACGGGATAAGTTTTTCAACTTCTGATTTGATGATGTGATTCTCCCCTTCAGGATGTCACAGTCGGTTCGGGTTTAGTGTTCCGGGGTTTGTCCTGCCTCCTCACGCACCGCGCAGGGAGCAAAAGTATCTTGCGCTTTTCTTTTTTTTTTCCTTTCCATGAAAACTCTTCACCATCAGTCAGAGATCTGGGCTTAAAGGGAGAGGATCTGATGGGCCCAGTTTGACTCAAAGATAATTCCATATATATTTCCACAAATGGCGCTTTAGTAAAAAAAAGAGAAAGGGGGGAACAAAAGCATACTCAGGATTTTGGAGGGGATATAACTTTTTAAATAAAGCCGCCCGTTTTTCTGCAGCAGCTGCGGGCGCTCACCATGGAGATGGAAAGATGGACCATCAGGTGGAAAACGAAAAGGCGTCTATTAGATTCAACGCTAGCCGCGGTGGGCACTTTAATCCTAATTCTACAAAGTGTCAGTGCAGGTAAGAGGCTGTTTATTGCTGAGTTTGCGTGGTTTGGAAAACTGGAGAGGGTCTGGCGCACAGCCCGAATATAGCAGCAGGGTCAATGAAGCTACGTGGTACAAAGGAGTTGGGACCCACCTTTTGGCAATTTAAATAAAATAGCTTACCTGCCACTGCGACTCTAACCTAACTTGCCTATATCATTATATAAAACACATAATTTTTCAGTGATTTACTATTTCTGAGGCAGATAATTGCTCAAAGGTTTAATTGAAACAGAAAAGGGTACATCATGTGACTTTTGAAGGACCCAAACATAGAAGCTGAGTGTGGGTTATGCTGCACTACAGGGCTTTTGTGATAACCGTTAATTCTTAAATGAAATTTTACCTCGTAAACCCCATCATCTATTTAAAAGGGGGGGCTTGATAAGAGATGTACTAGATTTGGCCCTTCAGACAAGAAAAGGCAAGGCAAACGTTTATTTTATTGCAAGATTTGTACTATTCAAAGTGCTATGCATGAAAATAAAGAACCAAATAACTTTGTAAACCTTAACTTTATTACTGGAATAATAAAAGATATTCATTTAAAGGAACCAGCAGTTTCTGTACATCTCAGATTTCCAGGGAATTGGTTCCAGATCTTAATGCAGCATCCTCTTGTTTAATCCTTGTTCTGGGAAAACTGAATTAACAGATCTGAGAGAGGTCCAGACGGTTCATGCATGATGAGAAACTCTAAAATGCATCTAGGCTCAAGACTATTTAATGTTTTATTTACCATAAATAAGAGATATTGCGTAATGCAAGTCATTCTGGTGTGTTCACCGGTGATTAATGCAGCAATGATTTTGGTTTCTGTGATAAATTTGGGCCACATTTTACATTTTGTTTGAGCGACTTGAAAGCAATTCTTTCTAAGCAAAACCGTTTGTTTTATTCCTCATCACTTGGAAGGGAGCCATGCTTTTACTCATAACTTTTCTCATGATATTTGGTATTATCTCAGGCTGACCACAGATAACAAAATATGCGCCGAAATTGATCTAAGCTCACTAAATGATTAAAACTGACACACTGTTTTCATAATAAATTACTGTGCTTTTTGGTATTATAAGATACCTGTATATAGATAGTAGGACTGCACAGTCTGACTTTAAGTGTACAGGTATTGTGATGGATTTTTAAAGTTTATATAATACCTGGGCACGAGACAGAATTCTTCAAGTGGAATTTATATTCTGGGCTGAAAGATCACCATCTTTCCACATTATCCAGACTCCCACCGAGTCCAAGAAGGGGCGTAGATGGAAAAAAAGATGGGGAGAAACAGTCTGGAGTATTTTCTTTGCTTTTAAGAAGACATATGAGGGTCACACAAATTCTTTCCTCTGTGAAATCATAGTAATAGACATATTATTGTGTATCCTTTGCCAGACTATATTTATGCACTTAAATAAGATATTTTTTCACATATAGCAAGAAAGTTAAAGCATTTGTTGCTATATTAATCTTTTAAAATATAATTTAATAAGCAATTGTTAGAAAATGGAATTGTTTTTTTTTGGGTGCTTTTGAGAAGGGAGGCAAAGAGAATTATTCCTATTTCTACAATATTGCGTCATATTTGGTACATTAGACTTTTGAGGTCATGTAACAAAAAAAATCTTTTTTCCACACTTTTTGGAATTTTTGTAAGTCTGTAAAATATATTTTTTCACTATTTTTGCTCAGTGGAGCTGGTTTTTGAGACAATTACCTTTGTTAAAGTGTAACTAACCTCTTGTGAGAGGATAAGCCCGCAATGACAATTTTTTTGAAAATTCCACAAAGTGGGTGGAGCCAAGAGACAAAGTGGGTGGAGCCAAGAGACAAAGTGGGTGGAGCCAAGGGAGACTGAAGGTCACGACAAGTGTGAGGATGAGGGGAAGGGGTGACTGGAGGGGGTGAGCGGGGTTGTGGTTAGGATGAGAGACACACTAATGCCGCTATATTTAGCCACTTTAAATATAACCTCCTGCGACTTTTTACCAAAAAGCCAATAAGTGACAAATCTGGCAACTCTTTTCTGTGTTGTTGGAGACTATTATAGTGTCAAAGCAGCTCTGCCGCTGCCCCGCTGTGTACTGAGCTAGCAGAGAGAGCTACTTTGAGTCCATCCCTCTTCCTGTCCTGCAGCATACCGTCACCAGTAATCAGAGCAGAGGAGACCCATTCCACTCCTTGTCCACTTTGCAAATGAATCACACATTTATAGAGCTGAGTAACGCTATCAATCGATGCTGTCTGTGGCCACGCTCACTATTTCAACTCCTGACTTGCCACAGGGCAAAAGCGTGTCTGAACACAGGACTTTTTTTTGAAGAAAAACCGTACCGTTTTGAAAAGTAACGTAATTCAACTGCTTAGGCATTATTTGACACTGAGATGGTTTTAGGCGAAATAATGCCAAACTAAGCAAATTTGCACAAAATTCACACAGAGAAACATACAGATAGAACCCTAAATAACTTATTGAGACAATTTATCAGCAAATAAAGATGATTTGGGGATTAGTTCCTCTTTAAAGAGGAATAGATCTTAGAAGTGTGTGTCAGAAGCAATACATTAGATAAAGATTTTTAAAGAGTCTTCTACCTGTTTAACAAAGTAACAAATGTATCACTTATCATCCGTGTATTTCTTAGACGTGCACCTCTGTAGTAAATCTAAAAGAGATGCACTTTCCACAGAAATGTTTGTCTCAAAAATGATTGATTGAGCTTTGTTGGGTTAACTTTTTTGAAGCCTAATACAAGATATAATTGACAGTTTCTTGGTCACCAACACCTGATTTTATCTATTTTCGGCATCATAAGTGATACATGAGGTGCTTAAGTCTGGTAATCATAAGCAAAATGATGTTTTTTTTTTTTTTCCCCACAGGTTTTGTTATTTGTATATGTGCAAACGATATGCGTTCACCATTGTTTGATGTAGCAGATTTCAGCAGGAAGGGCTAACTTTTTTCAAAAAATGTAGCGGTCTTCAAAATACCCGCATCATATTTTTCTGTAGCCAGATTTGTGATAACAGTTTTGTTGTTATTGATACAGGTTTTCTGAGATTTACTTCCTCTTATTTGGAGATTTTTCTATGAAAAGTGATTGAAAATATTCGCGGAAAATCTGCCTGTTTGCAGATTTATTCGTACCACAAGCCTGACATATTCAAAAGAAAACACAGCTTGGGAAGCTGAACTACGCTAGCGTAATGCTACATGACATGCTAATGGCTAGCATTGCCAAGCACTCAATCCAGTAGCGACATTTATTGGCTCTAACCTCAAGAGCGAAGATAAAGAAGACTGTCGATATAAGCGTATGCGATAATGCTAAGATGGTTTCCACTATGCGTATTAATGCATACTAAGGTATGAACTGTTAAAATGGGCAGTTATTAGCATTTTCAGAGGAGATATTAAGTATGTATGGTTTTTAGCAGTGCTCATTTTACTTGTTTTAAAAAATATACAGGTACTTTTCCCACTGAGGTCCAACATTGTTAAAGTTATAGCTGTTTGATAATGTACTTCATCAAATTATAATAAAATACTATGCTTAGCCTCATAGGGGTCTACTTAATTTCGAACCATCAGCATAATTTTCTTCCAAGTAATTGATTATTTCCGTGACACATAAGCACATCTCAGAGACCTGAGCTAAAACAATTATGAGCACAAAGTCTGTAGTGCCATGCTTGCACGTTCGCCCATGTGTCTGCATATTGACAGATGTTTAAGCTGGCCATAATTGCATGATGTGCTAGCAAACATTTACAGGCTTTCTAGCATGCTTTAATTGCTGCCTATGCTGCCAACTCCCTGTGGATGGTAGTGACACAAAATAAGACAGACGAGACATCCTGAGATGCTGCTGCAAAACCACAGAGCCGCCGAGACATGAAGTTATAATCGCCCAGGTTTGAAATGGAATCTAGCCCTAAACTTCAAACTGGAATAGGTAAATAGATGAAGGGCATATGGACTTTTTTGCCCGTGGAGGATGAAAATGTGTTCTGATGTTTTACAGTGTACAAACTGGGGTTTGTCATGTCAAAACATGCTACATGTTACATAGGAGTGACTTGTAAACACGGCAGATGCTACATCATAGCTCCTTGGCAGCAGTGTCATTAAAATCATAGACTGACAAATTACTACTCAGACTGCGGAGAGACTGCTTTAGTATGTTCACCATGAGAGAACTGTCTGCTCTCTCATGTGGCTTTCTGTCCTTATCATTAGAAAATGTTTTATTTCTCTTTCGGCTGGAGGGATGAAAGTTTTTTTTTTTTTTTTTTTTTGAGATATGTTGAGAGAAATGCACATTTACTTCACCTACTTGGAGCCTGAAAAGTGAAAAAGCTGTACCTACTTATTTTGGGGTCCATAATGGTTTTGGGATATTGCCCCATTTCTTCAGGGCTTCTGTGGAGTAACGGCTGTGGAAGGAGAGGGGGGCTGATGAGTCGGGGGCGTCTGGGAGAGTCTGTGTGTGTGTGTGAGGTGGGGGGAGGGAGGGTTCTTGGCCAATTCAGCACATCTGGAATATATGAGCCCTTGAGGTATGCAGTAACGCAGAAAGGCATTCTAAAACTCACAAAGAGACCTTCAGTCCAAGCAGTCTTTTTTCAGGAACCAGTAGCTCTGAATTTGGGACTATTTTCAGACGAGCCACAGACTATTTTCCTTTTTATGACGCATTTTGTGAGAGGTTTCAAACCTGCCATTTGATGCCTTCACTTTGTCTTTTTATTCTGCCTCTGTTTAAATAATTGTACAGTCTATTAAACTGTTATTTGGCGGTGTCGTTTGTGGAGACCTTTTCTGACCTTCGCCCGATGAAGTTTATTCTGAATCCATCCGAGATGGAAGAGAAAGATAAATCGCTTGAGTTTCTAGATTTCTCAGCAGTGTCACTAATAAAAACAGGAGAGAACCAGTTTCTCTGAGCCAGTATAGACTCTGTACTCCTC